CACACACACACACACACACACACACACACACACACACACACACACACACATTCTGAATGGATAACTGTTGATACTCTATACTATATTTATAAGATATTAATAGCTAATCTCTGAAAAGGAAATCACAGAAATAGAAAACCATCTCATTATTTTAAAAAAAATCTTATCCTTGAAGAATACAAATCAGGCATTATAGCAACTACTTTCACTGTAATTTGATTATTTCAATAAACCACACAAATGTTTTTTGTGTGACTTTGAGAACAGTTTATTAGTGGGGATACCAAGAACTAGAGCTGAAATTTGAGGATCTTAAAGGGGAAGAAATGCAAACATATTTCAAAATGGCATAGAAATGTAGTTTTCTCTAGGCTGCCATAATTAATTTTACTGCATTTGATTACAGTGAAACAAGTAAGTGACTTACATAATGAGAGAAATTGAGGTGGGGGATTTTAACGGTCAGTTTAAATAATATTTTAACTTGCATTCCCCCCAAATGAACTATCTTTCCTGTGGAAATAAAATGCATGCTTTTTGGAATAGCTGAGGATTAATGAGATAGAGTGAGAAATACTAACATGAATTGGAGAACATTAAAGATGTTAACAATATTAGGCTTAGGTCACATTTGGAACATTCTTACTTGTTTCAAGATATGGAATCCAGTTTAAGGACCAAAAGAATAAATTGTTCTAATCCTATAATGACTAAAGTCATTGAATTCTGAATATATTTAAGTCCAATTATTTGTATTTTAAACAAATAATCAAGCAAAATTTAAAACTTATAGGTTAAGATGGGGGACTAGAATGAGGATACCATCCTCAGGTGTGGAAACTTAATGGGTGATTTTGGAACAGTCACTTGCAGCCTAACCTACTCCACAGGATTATTGCGGTGGTACAAATTGAAGGAGATAGTGCTATACTGTATATTGCACCTTGAGTTCTTGAATGGTAGAACATAAATATAATAAATAAAATGGCGGCAATATTCATATTAGTGGGGAAAAAATATTATTGCTATTGATGTTTTGCATTGCCAAGAAGGACCATTGACTTACCTGAAGGGTCGTTTTCAGGGCGCTGCGAAGGAGAGTCCAAGTAAGGGTTAAATACAGCCAAACTGCCCAGAGCTGAATTGAAACTTTAAGCCACGCCTCTGGTGCTGAATATCCTCAGATTTTTCAATGAAGACGTGGAACTGTTGCGCGCTGAGAAGTCCAACATTGGATCAACTGGAAACACAACCGGAACAAGTCCAACTGGAACATCCAAAGAAACAAACATGATAACAGTGGAGCCAGACCTCAGGGTGGGGTGGCCTCTCCTTCGCAGCGCCCTGAAAACGACCCTTCAGGTAAGTCACTGGTCCTTCTTGCCAATGCAAACCTGACATAGCAATAATATTTTTTCCCCACTAATATGAATATTGCCGCCATTTTATTTATTATATTTATGT